ACTTGATGGAAAATCTCAGACAACCTGGATATTCCATTTACTACCATTAGTTCATTCATTGCAAGGTATAAAAAATTCAAAACTGTTGAAAACCAAAAAAGAACAGGTGCTCCATGGAAGATTTCTGCAAGTTTTTCGTGGAAATTAATGCATGAAATTAAACAAAATCCAATGGTTATTCGTCAAAAGTTGTTTTGCTTACATCAGTAATCTGTGTCAATAAACGGACAATAACCAATGTAATTCATAGGAACGATCTAAAGTCATGCTCCCCTCGGAAAACTCCACTGTTATTGAAAAAACACAGAGATGTCAGGTTGAAATTCCTTCGTGAAGATAAGAATAAGCCACAATCGTATTGAGAAAGAGTATTATGGAGAGACCATAACATAATTGTGTTGTTTGGACGTCATTCTAGAAATCATGTATAGAGGAAAGTTGGCGATGACTTCAATCAAAAGAACACAGTCCCAACAGTGAAATTTGGTGGTGGCAGTATCATGGTTTGGGGGTGTTTTTTTTTTAAAAAGGTACTGGCATCATATCAGTAATAGATGGTAGAATGAATGCCTCAGCATATCAAAATATTTTGGAAGCAAATTTAATGATTTTGGTTGAAAATCTTGAACTTCCTCCTGATTGGATCTTCCAACAAGATAATGATCCTAAGCACACTGCAAAATCTACGAAAAAATGGCGTGCTAAAAATAATGTAAATATCCTAAAATTGCCAAGTCAGTCCCCAGATTTAAACCCAATCGAGAATCTGTAGCATTATCTGAAAAAAAAAAACAATCCAATCGAGAGCCCCAAACAAACATCCCAGATTTGAAGACCATATACGAAGCAGAATAGAACAAAATACGAACTAAAATTTGCAAATCATTTATTGAGAATTACAAGAAGAGGCTGGTTGTTGTGATAGTGAATAATGGCTATTCTGCAAAGTATTAAATGAAGATTACGTATTTTTTTGTATTGTAAGAATCCTTTTTTTCATCCATTCAAATGGATAAATAGAATTTATTTCTTTTAAATGAAGAGCTTTTTTCTGTGTTCTATGCATATTTAGTTAGTATGCATCTGTGTACAATGAATTAAATGAAAAGTACGTTTATTCATAAGTTGGAAATACAATAAATTAAAGGTATATACGTGTACGAATATTTGTTTTTTCCCATATATATATATATATATATATATATATATATATATATATATATATATATATATATATATATATATATATATATATATATATATATATATTTATTAGAAAATATATATAACTATAAATATGTTATAAAATAATAAAATAATTACAAAATAGCCATTTTGTTTCAAGACTTCTGGTGTCTTATCAAGTGATGGTGTTGATTCAAATAAATTATATTTGCTCTACTCTGTATTGAGCACTATTTTAAGAATAGTTTTTTTGGTTATTGGAATTTATTCCTATACACCAATCCTATACTTAGTTTTATATATATATATATATATATATATATATATATATATAACACTGATTCTATCGATATGCATATAAATATAACACTGATTCTATCGATAAACACACACACACACACACACACACACACACACACACATATATATATATATATATATATATATATATATATATAACACTGATTCTATCAATAAAATTGTTACTTTGAAATCCATTTTTTAATATATAACCTAAGTCAATTTTGTCATTCCATTACCCTCAGTAGATAGATAATAATGAGCCATTGATAGATAGATAGATAGATAGATAGATAGATAGATAGATAGATAGAAAAAGGTTCTGTTAGTTACATAATTTTAAAAATAACTCCTACTATTTGAAAAATATCTCAGAATAGATCTTATTCAATTCTAGTTTTATTTTTGTCATGTTGACTTTTGACCCCATCAGACACTGATCGCTTTTTAATAGTATTTCTGAAATAATTCGACCCGCTTTTCGAATGACGTATTTCCTATGAATACAGAATGCAAACAGTCGTGTGTCAAATAACTGTTTGTTGCTTTGTCCCCCACTTATTCAATCTCGACTCACTTGAAAATGATATTGATAATAATAGAAATTGAGCCGTAAGTCCTATCATTTACCTTTCTTAAAGCAATATACGTCAAAGGATCGATGCTTCCTTAATGCCAAATGAAAATCAATCGTTTGACCGCATAATAGTTGAAATTAAGAGGATCGGAATTACTAAAAATCAACGACATTACGTCAAACAAAATGCAAGTAGCAGGCTATTTTTATTTCTCTATAAATAGATAAGTAACATGAAACGGTTTGCTTTCATTTCGATATTTATTTTGGGATTCATCTATGATGTAGGTTCTATTGTATGGACAGGAAATAGATAAATTTCGGTTTTCTGCATCGGGAATAAATCTCAAGTTAAAATACTTTAAATCTTAAATAAAATATTGACGGAATTTATTCAGCTCAAATAACAAGTCCCGCCACCGGTAAAAACGAAACATTGTAATCTGGATTGTTGATATATATATATATATATATATATATATATATATATATATATATATATATATATATATAAGAACTATTATATGAATATATAAGAACTCTTATGTAGCGAAGGAATCATATTTTTAAACAAAAATATTATAATATACATATATATATATATATATATATATATATATATATATATATATATATATATATATATATAAACATATCTAGGGCAATTTATATTTATAATGAATCATTCATATAAAAAGTAAATAAGTAAAAGTAATTTCGCCATTTTATATCATTAACTTTACTAATTTACTTTTTGTATGAATGATTCATTGTAATATATATATATATATATATATATATATATATATATAACATTGTCGACGTTTATAGAAGTTTTCAAGGCGTATATATAGGTCTTTCCGAAGCTGACCTTATCAGCTATTTAGACGTTTTCGTGCGCCTTTATGAAACATTGTCGACATGTATCGAAGTTTTCAAGACTTACGTACACGTTTTTCCTAAACTTACATTGTCCGTTTATATATATATATATATATATATATATATATATATATATATATATATATATATATATATGTGTGTGTGTGTGTGTGTGTGTGTGTGTGTATGTATGTATTTACAGACGTATTTATACGTCTTTACGAAACAATGTCAACGCATATTGAAGTTAAGTTTTCAAGACGTACAAATACGTCTTTCTGGAGTTTACAATGACAGCTTTTTTTTATAGATACAATGTAAGTATATGCTCTGCTTTTATTTAAATAGTAATAATTATATTTACCAGCCTCAATGTTCGAGCAATGATCGATCGAGAAAAATCGAAGAATTTGTGCTTATAAACAGTAAATTTCAGACCTTGCTAACCAGACGCATACAAAATGATACAAAAATCACATCCGAAAATGAAAGGCGCCCCGCATCCACCAGAGAACTGATATCACTGAGCACCTAACGAGGAAGGAGATGAGAAATTAAACGAAAGAAAAAAATAGGAACAGAAATAAAAGGAGCCAATGAGCAAGCATCCTCTAGCTAAGTTAACCTAAAGAGAGAAAGTAAGGACAAACAAAAAGGAAACTTAAACTAACCTAAACCTGGGTGGGGTTAGCCTATGTTCAACACAGGGAGAACAATACCCTGATGCTTAACCGGCATCAAAATGCCATTCCAAGTCAGCCCCTGCCACTCGACACAATAACTTGTAAATATAAAGCATAGCAGAAGTAGTCAGGTATTTTAAGGAACTATACAAAGAATGGACGTTCCCATTTCGTTGTATTGGAATATTATTTACGCCAATCATATTCCGATTTATTTGATCGTTTAATGCTTGCTTTCTTTGATCAATTACAACTGAATAGTGAGTTCAATCGTCACTGGGTGCTTCAAATTTTCAGCCTTGTGCCACATCTAAGCTACGCTTAGAAAATAACCACATTGAGATCTGTTTGTGCAATCCAACATGGTGTAAGGGTTAGCAAACTTGACTCGCTAAAACAAATACGACTTGATAGTGTTCGATCCTCACTAGGTGCCCCATACTTTAAGCTATACGCCACATCTAAGCTAGGCTCAGAAAATCACCATATTGAAATCGGTTTGTGTACCGGTTGCCTTGCTAGATTAATTAGTAGTAGTAAGTTCGATCCTCACTGAGTGCTCCACACTTTCGGCCTTGTACCACATCTAAGCTACCCTTAGAAAATAATTTCCAAGCCTCAGAGTGGCCCCCCCCTCAGGCAGTACCTCTCCTTCGAGGGGAGGCTGGGTTTATTGCCCAGCTCCTG